TAAATACTTCTTGATTGATGAAGTCAGTAAACATTTATGTGCCTAAGCCCTGGAGATACAAGGAAAAGTCAAACAGTGCCTGCACTCAGGGAGCTTGCAGTCTAATGGGGAGACAACATGCAAACGACTATGTAAAAAAAGCTATAGATAGGATAAATTTCAGATAATCAACAGAGGAAAAGCATTAGAAGTATTGAAGGAGTGGAAAATAGGCATTTAAAAGGAATATAAACTATATTCCCATGTGCATGGCATCCATATGTGTGCCTGGGCCATGTGTATATCTGTCACATGTGCCCTTTGATGAATGTTCCTTAGAGGAGCTTCCCTGCGTGTGCATCCCCTATATGTCAAGCATATTCATTGCAAAGGTACCTCCTTTTACTAGTGGAGTTGCAATGAGAGAGTATATCCTAGTTGTGCATGGGGGAAATCTTTCTTGTAATTTTTCTTTTATGCTATTTAAGTAACATAGTTAAAATAAATTTAAAAGCATGTAGTCAGTCCCCTACTTAGAGACATTTGACTTATATAGGTTGGAGTTCTATCCTAAATGGAAACAACTGTCCTCTGTCCCCTTATTCAGAAAATCTCAGTAGTAGCTTGCCTAAAGAACTGCCTTCTCTTATGTGTTAGAATGAAATCAAAAACCAGAGGTGGTAAACCTGCAGCCTTGAGACCACATGTGGCCTTTGAAGTCCTTGGGTGCAGCCTTTTGACTGAGTCCAAGTTTTATTGAATAAATCCTTTCATTAAAGGGATTTGTTCTATGAAATTTAGATTCAGTCAAAGGGCTGCACTTGAGGACCTAGAGGGCCATGTGTGGCCACGAGGCCAAAGGTTCCCCACCCCTCTCATGGACTATCTAAGCTGGAAGGAAATCAGCGCAGTGCCACAGAGAGAGCCCTGGATTTGAAGTCAGAAGACTTGAATTTGAGTTATATCTGTGTCCCTTGCTGTGTGACTGTAGGTTATTTTTCTCTCCTCTCTGGGCTTCAGTTTCCTTGGTTGTAAAATTAGGGGCATTGCATTCTTTGATTTCTTAAAGACTCTTTCCACTCAGCATTTCCTTATTTAATCCTGCCCACCCATTTGACAGATAAACTTCTTAGTCCTCGCTGTTTAACTGTTTGAGGTTCAGAGTTCACAAGCCATTTACTTATTTTATATCCACTTACTGTAGTAGTTCAGAGAGCCATGATTGTATCATTGTATCAGGGTGCTTGCTCCACTGGATGTAGATTGTTGTCTTTCCACACGTACTTGTGAGTTGTTGGGAGTAAAAAACAAATTAATCATCTAATGACCAACCTTTGGTGATGAGCCTCAATACACTGTTGTTGTTCCTATACAGAGCTTGAAACCTTGATAGTTTGTGGGAGGTGGGGCTAGACGTCAGTTTGCATAGAAAAGATTTAGGAGTTTCAGTGGACTGTAAGCCCAACATGAGACATGATGTGGCAGCCAAAAAAGTCAATTTCATCTTTGTCATTTTAATCTCCAAAACTGCATTTGGAGAAGTTTAATGTCCAGGAAAGTATAGTACAAGGGTGGGGAACCTGCGGCCTCAAGGCCACATGTGGCTTCAAGGCCGTAGGTTCCACAGTGTCTAGAAGTATAATGTCTAGAAAAGTAATGGTCTCAATCAATACACTTTGTTTTGATCAGAATCTTTCTGTAGTATTGTGTTCAGGCCTGGGTGGCATATTTCAGGATGGACATTCAGTTAGGGGACATATAGAAGAGGGCAACTAAGAGAGTGGGGGGGCTAGAGACCATATCATATGACAGGTGATTAAAGGAACTGGGATTGTTTAGCCTAAAGAAAAGACTTGGAAAGGGGCAGCTAAGTGGTGCAGTGTATAGAGCTGTGGCCTTGGAGTCAGGAGGACCTAAGTTCAAATCAGGCTTCAGATACTTGGCACTTAACTAGCTGTGTGACCCTGGGCAAGTCACTTAACCCTGATTGCCTAAGCAAAAAAAAAAAAAGAAAGGAAGAAAGAAAAGTCTTGGGGGAACTAAACAGATAGATAGATATAGCCATTATTAAGTGCTTGCTATGTACCAGGTACTGGACTAAGCACAGAGAATGCAAATATAAGCAAAAAAGAAGACAGTACCTACCTTCAAAGACCTTACATTCTAACAGAGAAAATAATGCCAAAACAGATGCTGAAAAGTGGGGATGGGGCGGGGGGGAGGCAGGTGGAGAGAAGATACCTGCATGGGACAGAAGTGGAAAAGTCTGAAGAGTCAGAAGCTAGATTAGAAGTGAGCATAACTGGCCTAGGAACTTCTTCGAATGGAGGTTCCAGAAAGGAACTCACCATTTGAGAGAACAGATCACAGGTGACCCCTCTTGAGAAGGCAACTGGGGTAGAGATGGAAAAATCTGGACCAGTGTCAGGACTGGAATCTGTTTAAAAGTGATAAGTTCTTTCAGGTATTTGAAAGGCTATAGAAGAGGGATTATATTTATTCTGCTTGGCCCCAGAGGGCAGAAGTAGGAGCAATAAATGAAATTTATAGAGTGGGAGATTTTGACTGAATTTAAGGAAAAAACTTACACTTAGAACTATCCATAAGTAAAGTAGGCTCCCTGGAGAGATAATTCTTTCACTAGAGGTGGGTTGTTGTTGTTGTTTTTTTCTTTTCTATTGGTGGCTGTTGTTTTATAGAGGGTCCTTTTCTGGACATATTCCTTCCTCCCATCCTCAAGTGAGCCATTCCTTATAACAAAGAGTAAAAAAGAAAGAAGGAAAAAAAATAGTCCAGCAAAACCAGCCAGTCCATCTACTGTGTCTGACAGCATATTCATATTCCATACTCACTGGTGGGAGTCATATGTCCACTTGTTAGGTTGTTCTAGAAAAGATATGAGTTTAACAAGATTTTCTCTGAGGTCCCTTCCAACTATGACTTTCTGGAATAGTAAAAATAGTTGATGTTTATTTAGCATTTTATCATGATAGGGTACTTTAAAGACATTATCTCAATTGATTATTACAAAACCCCGTGAGGTAGGTGTTGCAAGTATGATTGGATTCATTTTATGTCTAAGCATACTGGAGTTCAGAGAGGTTGAGTAATTTGTCGAATAATCCTGGGATTCTTAAATGTACGAGCAGGGCAGGTGCACAGGGAATTCTGCCGCCTAGTTAGACTTTAAAAAGCTGTCATTCCAAAATGTGTAGGAAGTTAATTATGAACACATAAGATCAAGAACAATTCTCCAGTGGATAAGTGGTCAAAGAATATGAACAAATAATTCTCAAAAGAACATAAACTATAAATAACAGTATGAAACCTTGCTCCATGTAACTAATAAGCCCTTAGCACAATGCCTAGCACGTAATAGGTACTTAATAATAATTTCTTGACTACTTATTAACTAATAATGAGAAAAATGCCAATCAAAATAACTCTGAGGTTTCACTTTACACTCAACTAATTAGCAAATATGACAAAAGATAGAAATAGGCAGTGTTGGAGGGACATTATTATGATGTGGGTGGTGCTGTGAATTGATCCAAACATTCTGGAAAGCAATTTGGAATTATGCTGGAAAAAAATCCTTTAACTCAGAGATCCCACTACCAGGTTTGTGGGAGTTTTAGTTTAGTGTTCAGAGACTAGAACAGGGATCCTTGGCAGTAGGTGAGATAAGACTTCCTGATCCAGTAGGTGGATCGAGAATTAATTGTGGGCCAGGATTAAATTTAAAAAATATTTATTTAGGGCTCATATATGACAAAGGCCCTGCTCTTAAGAAATTTACAGTTCCATGAGGAGGACAAGTACATAAGTAACTATCATACAAGAAAACATGAAATAAGTTCAAAAGAGAGGTTAAAGGACATAGTAAAGGACTATGAAAAAATTGAAGAGAGCTTACTTATGCCTGAGTGAGGAAGGGAGGCAAAAGGGAATATCTCCTGGAGAAAGTATCGTATAATTTGGCCATGAAGGAGGAGAATGAGATCAACAGATGGATATAATGGGGTGAGTTCATTCCATGGCTTAAGCCACAGAAGTAAAAGAAGGAAGATCACGAATGAGGAATGCAGAGTAGTCCAGTTTGGCTGGAATGCAGAATACGTGAAGGAGAGTAAAGTGAGATAAGGTCGAAGACAGGTGGACGCCCGATGGTGGACAGCCTTGATCAGCAGGTTGTATGTCCCTGGATTAGAAATTCCTAATCCTATCTAGGCCTAGGCAGCTGTGCCAGAGAGGGCGGTTCTTGGCAGAGTTGGAAATAGCGCTGCTTCCCTATGCTCTTCTGAGATTGCACCTTCCTCCATCTTCTTTTCTTAGTTGCTGTAGGGAAACCTCATTTCTGTTTAAGTGCAGCCAAATCCCCCAGCATGTTCAGGGCTTTCCCACTTCTTTACCTTTGCTCATGCTGTTTTCTTCAACTAGAATGCCTTTTCCACAGCATGTCAATCAGTCAAGCATTCATTATGCCTCTGCTATGTGCTTAAAAGATGAGTATTAATACAGAGAACATGTTCTCAGTACTAAATGAGTAGTTCAGAAGTAAGGCATATTTAGTGTTTGTGGGAGGGAGTTACCTTCCTAGGGGACAAGAAATTTTAGCTGGACCTTAAAGGATGGCTAAGTTTTACATAGGCAAAATGAAAGAGGGATGCTTCACTGTCCAGCTCAAATGTATAAGCAGAGTGGAGGAAGAAGGGTCTTCCAGGCAAGGGGCAATTCCTGTAGAAAATGAGTGGGAGATTTCAGTTGTGGGGTCAGATTGTGGGGAACCTGGATTTTAAGGAGTTTAGACTTTTTTTCCATAAGAATTTGGAAACCATTAAAAGTTTTTGAGTTGGGGAAAGACATTCCCAGAACGTTGCTTTCAGAAGATTCATCTGACAATAGGAGCAGGATGGATTGGAAGGGGAGAAACTGGGTAGAGAATATGAGGGAGACTTGAATTAGTCTGGGTGTAAGGGATGAGCATGTCATCATTTACCTTTTTTCCTTTCCATAAATAGGATTTGCGGTTTCCAAACCTGATGTAATTTCCTTGCTGCAGGAAGGGGAAGAACTGTCTGGCTCAGATTTTCAAGGAATTCAAGAAACAGAAATCTCAAGAGATACCTACACAGGTAAGTGAGAATAGCCTCATAGGGACAAAGGATAATAACAGCCTATCTAGTTAATGAGGTATTTGAAGTTTTCAATTTAATTCAGTTTGTATTTCTGGAGTACCTTTCTACATGTCTGTATACCTATGAATCTCTGCTCTGTGGGCTGCAGGTCTTCCCAGCATCTGAACTCATGGAATGAGACTGAGGTAGGCAGGTAGGCGATAAGCATTTATTAAATGCTTACCATGTGCTAAGCACTGTGCTAAATGCTGGGGATACAAATATAAGCAAAAAGAAAGACTGTCCTTGCCCTCAAGGAGCTTACATTCTGCTGGGGAGAGATAACATATAAAAGGGAGCTGAAAGAGGCAAGGAGAGATAGAAGATACTTATATGGTGTCGAAGTCTGAGAGAGTTAGAAGCACAGCTGGGAGGGGAATGAAGCATGACTGACCTGGGCCCATCCCCAAAATGGAGGCCCCAACTCACCAATGGGAGACAAGAGGGTTAGTATGATAGAAGCAAGTTCTATGGTGAGAAGTCCCCAGGTGCTGAGGGAAGTTCCACTTCGAGAGCACTGCCATCATGATGGTTAAGTCTGAGAGAATCAGAAATACAGCAGGGATGGGAAAGAAGACGATGCCTTTCTTCCCTTTCTCTCTGTCTGGTGTCATCTCTTTCCCAGTCACAACCAGCTGCTGCCTTACCCATGATCAGAAAGAGCTCTAGATGAGGGGTGTCAGGTCATTTGGGCTCTAAACCCAGCATGCCTGCCATTAGCTTACTTTATGATCTTGGCTAAATCCAGGGTTTCATTCATCAAGAGAGTCCAGGACTCAGTGGTGTCTCAGATCCCTTTCCAGTTTTAACATTCCGTATTTTATGACGTAGTAAAATGTAAGGTCCTGAAGAGGAGCACTGTTTTGGTTCTATCTTGGTATCTCCAGCACTGAGCACGGTGCTTTGCATATTAGTAAAATGAGAATTGGATTGGATTGGCTTGGCTTGGCTTCCCAAGTTCAGTTACTCCTCCTCTAGACTCTCAGTCCCTCTTATCACCACCCCTGGGAACTTCACTGCTGTTCTCTCTGAAACCCGTTACACAAGGTCCTCTTTACCTCTCCGTAACTTGTGTTCAGTCTGCTCATCCTAAGGTCTTTCTGTTCATTTCTTTTAGCCTTTGCCACTAGTCAAGGTTCCCAACTTTTTTGATGGGCAGGTGGAGGATGCCAGGGTCTAGCCCTGGGCTTTAGGATTCCCTGACCCAGTGGTCAGCTTCTAAGTTGACTTTGCCTTTGGCCTTCAGATTTCCACCTTTCTACCTTACTAAATTTCTCAAGTTACTAAATTCCATTTTGAGGCACTGACTTTCTTGGGTCCCTGAGCCAATCTGGTGTCGGATTTAAACACTAATTTCTGGACCCCCTGCCATTCCCACGAATGCCCTCTTTCCTCTTTACCTTCTCCCCCATTTTTACATAATCCAGACAATAAGAGGACCTTTTCTAGGGTTTTTTTTATAAGGGAAAGAGAATATGCAAATTCAGAAAAATCTAAGAAGGTAAAATAACTAGTAGTATACAGAAAAAAATTCTACAGAGATCCAGATTGAGCAATGGCTAAGCTTTTTTACTTCATCCTTAACTAAAATACTCAAGGATTAATGTGGGCCACCTTTAGTCTTGGAACTTGACACCTCTTTTATCTCCAGATGAGAATGATGTCTTCAGAACACATCTAAGCCAAATTTGAGATTCAGCCACCAAGGTTCTGTTGACCAAGGTCATTGATGTTTTTTTCCTGTCCTGTATTCATTCTTAGCTACTCAGGAAACCTTCTGATGATATGGTAGTCTTTTGGCATTTCACCCAGATTATGGTTACCCTTGGTTAGCTTTATTTTGTCTCACTCCCAAACTCCAAGGGACAAACAGAAGAAATCAAAACAGGCAAATAAAACTATTCCTAATCAAAATAATTCAACCAGATACATAGATCATTCTTAAAGTTCACCATAGACACCTTATTCTTTATAGGGCATTTATTATTTTCTTTGCTCACTTTGCCTTCCCTACCTGGTCACCCCTCCTACAGCCTTGGCCATCCATTTACCAATTTTCCAGATCTACAGACTGATCAGGCTCTTCATACCCAGGAGGATTGGGAAAACCTGTAATGAGCACCATATTACCAAGTGAAAATTCCTGCCTATGTCCCTGTTCCCTTTTCCTTAATGAGGTCCTTTTGGAGAGCCACCAAAGCTTTGGGCATCTATTAGAAATTAATTTCAAGGATGATGGTTATCTTCCTTTTCTACCTGTTTCCTTTTTCCCAGCACAGGGAAAAGATGACATTTGGATTTTCATTTCCTTATTTCAGATTCTGAATCTGAGATTGAATTGTTAACTCCAAAGCAAGAAGTTTCTGAAGAAGGAGAAGAACATGGAGGGATGTTGAAAAGTCTCCTCAGAAATGTTCCTCGAGGACCCAAATTTGCAGAACCCTGTGAACGGGAGGACAATTTAGAAAGGCAAATGGGAAACTCTGCTGGGGGCAGAGAAAGGATATCCCTCTCCCAGAAGCGAGGTTCCTGGCATATGACAGTCCTTCACCAGGAAGCTCCTCCAGTAGAGGAGAATCAAGGATGTAATGAATTTGGGGGAAGCTTTAGTCTGAGCTCGAGCTATATGACACGTCAGGGAGGCTCCATAGGAGGGAAACCCCATAAATGTGACACCTGTGGTAAATGCTTCAAATATAATTCATTACTTATTAAACACCAGAGAATTCACACTGGAGAGAAACCCTATGAATGCAGTGATTGTGGGAAGTGCTTCAGAGGGTGGTCAGGCTTTATTCAACATCACAGAATTCACACTGGAGAGAAGCCTTATGAATGTAATGAATGTGGGAAAGCCTTCAGTCACAGTTCACATTTTACTCAACACCTGAGAATTCATAATGGAGAGAAGCCCTATAAATGTAATGAATGTGGGCAAGCTTTCAGCCAGAGCTCAAATCTTATTCGACACCAGAGACTTCACACTGGAGAGAAACCCTATGAGTGTAGTGAATGTGGGAAAGCTTTCATTTGGAGCTCAGTCCTCATTGAACACCAGAGAATTCACACTGGGGAGAAACCCTATGAATGCAATGAGTGTGGGAAAGCCTTCAGAGGGAGGTCACATTTTTTTCGACACCTGAGAACTCACACTGGAGAAAAGCCTTTTGAATGCAATGAATGCGGGAAAGCCTTCGGTCAGAGCTCACAACTTATTCAACATCAGAGAATCCACTACAGAGAATAACCCCAGGAATGTTATGTAATGAGTGTGGGGAACGGATGCCTTGATAGAGCAGAGAATCTACTTTGGGGCATGAGCCCATAAAAAAAAAACAAGGTCCTAATGGAAAGGGTTCTTGTCTGTCTAATTCTCTTTGTGCAGCAACCTAGCCCAGCACCGCATGCAGTGAGGTAATAAATACTTGGTGATTGGTGATAATAAATTTCTTGTTCATAACTGTGTAAAATCCTTCAGTGACTGCTCCACTATCCTATTTGCTGAGGGGTCACAAGAAGAGAAGAAAAATAGGGGAGCATATTGTCAAGGGGAAAAATTAAAATTTGGGAAATAAGTGAGTGGTGGCCAATTCTGTGAAGATCTCAAGGCTTAGAGAACATTAAATGGAGAACACTGGATTTGGCTAAGAGGAGATTGAGGGTAATAACAAGGGCAATGTAGGTAATTTAGCCACCACCAGCATTACTGAGCTCTCCCTTTGGGAGTGTTAGGAAGACAGGATATAGCATTCGTGTCCTTGAGGTTCTCAGGGTGGAGGAGAATGAAAACAATAAATATTCTTAGGTAGCCACCAGGCAGGGGACCTTGAAGAGTGGGAAGAAAAGCTGACTTCACTTCTCCTAACTCCATAAGGTCTCTTATTTCCACCTCCCTCCCTATCATTTCTTGTCCTTCTCTTCTCTACCCTTCCCATGTGTGTTCCCTCTCTATGTGTACATATATATTTTCCCTCTCTACTTGCTGTGAGGGGGACAGAGTTTGGTAGAATAGGGGGTCCTAACTTACCTTTGTGTGTAACTCTGGTGGCCAAAGCAAAATCACTCCCTATCCCTTAACTGTGTACAAGTAAGGAACTAGGTTAAAAAGTACCTTGGTAGAATACCTTGCAAGGGACACCACAGTATCAATAATAAATTATTTTTAAAGTTCATTCAGGGTAGGATTCCACTTATAGCTTTAATGAAGTCACTTGATAGTGCAAAAGACTTACTGAATGATAAAAGAGAACTGGAATTCTAGAGCTGGAATTCTAGTAGTTGCCTAGTCCAACCCTCCAGCCCACATAGGAACAAATCTGTAGCTTTCCTGATAGATGGTTATCTTGTTGCTGGTGATACACTTCTGGTGATAGAAGACTCACTAATAACTACATTGAGGAGCAATTCAGGTCTGATTTTAGGAGTCTAGTCCTCACACTGAGCTGGAATTTGCTTTTCTATAACACCCACTCAGTATACACATTGTTCCTCACTTGGCCCTCTGGGGCTAAACAGTTAAATCTCACTCCTTTTTTAGATGACAACCCTTAAAGTAATTTGAAGGCATATTATGTTCTTCCTCAGTCTTCTCCAGTTACTTCAACTAATCCTCATGACCTAATCCCTTTCATCCTGATTGTCTTATAGATGTGTTCCAATTTGTCATCAGTCCCCCTTAAAATCTGGTGCCTAGAATCCTACAGGTCTAACCATAACATAGAAAAAGAGATTCTAATTTTAAAATTTCTTTCCTTCCTGAGGAAGGTGTAAGGAGATTTTTTTCCTGTACTGTCTTTTGAAATGACATATTAGACCAGAGAATTACCATACTGCATTAGCCTTACAAACCCATCTGGCCCTGTGCTACATCTGATAGGGACCCCAAGGGATATGTGGTGGTAGGTCATGGCTGTCCCTGAGGACAGCCTCAGAGGCAAATTCAGAGAACTCCAAAACATCTTGGTTTACCTTAGTGATTTGTTATGGATATGTCACCAAAGAGTTCACACAATACTCTTTTGAAACAGTTCAGATTCAGCCTTATATCCCCTATCAGGGAATTCCCTGCCACCATGGGTTGTGACATAAAACTTAATTATCTCAGTTTACCTCTCAAATTTTAAGGGTTGTTCCTTTGTTTAATCTAGCATTGGTGAACATAACCCTCTTCCCCTCCATCCCTATCATTCATTATTTTAGGGACTTTGAAAATAAAGTAACCTCATCCCTTTAGGAGTCCTTAGGATTTAGAGACCTTAGAGATGGGGTAGTCCCAACTGCATTTCACAAATAAGGAAACCAAGACCTGACAAGGGGAAGGAACTTTTCTAAAATCATACTGGGAGTAAATATCAGAGCCCATGTCTCTGAACCCATGTCTTCTATCTAGTTCTCTCATTCCTGAGGTCTTGTCACCAGAAACTTCACAGCCCATGGTTTTATACATGTTTCTTAGGTTAACAGTTGTCATTTTGTTTCTAATATTCTTGATAGCGCTTTTGGCCCTCTAACTCCCCCCATCTCATTTTACTTATATTCTAAGATTCTGTATTGAGCTTTCCAGGATAACAACTAGTTCACCTGATAAATTATGTCTCATCAGTGAGAAAGAGTTTAAGGAATAGGATCCCTTGCCACCACCACCAGCCTCCCCCCAGTTCTCCCTCTCAAAGTAATGTGCTTATATTTAACAACTTTCTAAGGCTCAAGCTTTATCCATCAGTTCCAATAGTGGGTATTTGGGGCCACGTGTGTGTGTATGTGCGTGCATGTGTGGGCACATGCATATGTGTGAGCACACGTATGCATATAATCCAGAAAAATAGAATGCTAGAAGTAGAAGGGACCATATAGGTTATCTAGTTCAAATCTTGGAGCATGAATTCTGTTTACGGCAGACCCAGCAGGTTTTAGTCCATGTGTAAAGTTCTCCAGTGATGGGTTACTTATGATCTAGCAAGGCAGCACATTCCATTTTTCAACAGCTCTCATTCCTTCCTCAATGTGACAAGACCATTATATTCAAGGTCCAGCAACCCTTCACTTGTTAACAGATCCAGTTATGTTCTCACTCCTTCAATTATTGAGATCTAGTAGTATCCTTTCCTCTGAAATACTATTTCGTCATCCCTATTACTCCATCCATTACTCCATTACTGCCCCTGGTTATCTCATTTTAGGCCTCAAGCTTTCCAATGCATGAGTTAAAATATAAGCTAATAAGGCCTTCTGCTTTAAGCATTTATTGCCCTGATTATTATGACACATCCTTTAAGTTCCCAAATTCTGCAGTAGACTGGACCATCATCTAATCCAATAGATGAAAAATTTTGCAGATGAGAAAACAGCTCAGAAAAGTTAAGTGACTTGCCTAAAGTCTCATGGGTAACTACTACTGGTAGGAAACCCAAGTCCAATAGACTATATATCAAAGCCTTACCAGTGCACTATGCTACCTCTATTTGTTAGGAAGTTTTTGTATTGAATGAAAATCTGACTCCCTATGACTTTCAGCCTTTGGTCTTATTTCTGCCTTCTTGGGTCAAGAGGAACAAGGCTTATCTCCCACATAGAATCACATCCTCTCATGATAGGAAGACATCTCAGAAATCACCTAGGCCAAACCATACCCAAAGCATGAATCTACTTAACAGTATGATCATTTAGTGTTGGAAGATTCTCACTGAATCTCCCCTTAAGTCTTCTTCAGGCTAAACATTCCCACTTCTGCCAAACTTCCTATGACATAGTCTTAAGTACACTATCCTGAATGCCCTTCTCCAGATAGCAATATCTATTGGCAGGCAGGAGATGCTATAAGCCACACAATGGACCAGCCGTATACCAACATGGCTTCAGGGCAGGAATAGAATCATAGATTTAGAGCTAGAAGGGAGAGGACACACAGCCAACCCCCTCATTTTTCAGATGATGAAACTGAGGCCCGTGAAAGGCCAGTTAGCCAGCCTACCCCCAGTCTCTGCCTCATGTAACAGATGCCCAAAGTCACACAGCTAGTGAGTAGCAGAAATGGGATTTGAATGAAGATCATTTTCCTCCAAACTGAGTGGTCTTTTCACTGTACCATGCAGCTTCTGTTGGGGGACAGCTTGGCAGGGGGAGCTCGGACAGTTCCTGTGTCTTCAAGTTGTTGGCAGTTCTTAAATTCTGTGGTCAAGGAAGCATTGACCACTGAGTGTATACAATCTTCCTTCCTGAATCCCAGAATCGCCTGATGCACCTGGAAAGGCAGAATAACAAAAACTCCAATTTGTATGGCATTTTACTGTTTACAGCACATGTTCTTCGTAATAGTTCTATAAAGTAGGCAATGTAGTCCATCCTCATTTTACAAGTGAGGAAACTCTGATTCATAGAGGTTAACTAAGTCCCATATATTTTGGAAGTTGTAAGAGATGAGTACAAGTCAGTCTCACTGTTTCCAAAGACTTGTTAGAGTTCTGTCACTGCATGAGCGAGAGGATAATCTCATACTCTATATGTGGGAGGGAGACTCCTTTCTCCTCCCCATTCTGATCTTTCAAATGATTTTTAAAAATTTCTCTTCCATTGCTTCCTTCTTTCTGTCTTCTTTTCCTTCCTATCCATCCATTCATTTATGTTCATTTGTGTCTTCATTTTAGAATTTCTTGTTAGGCACTTATTGCTATCAGGCTCTGTTTTCAGGGCTAAAGACAAGAAAACACTCTTGCCTTCTTAAATGTGGACATTATGGTTGCAAATGGGAGTAGAAAAAAAGAACATTTGTTTAAGAAAAACTGAAAAAAATCAACTTCAAAAGAAACACAGTTTCTCAGATAAAATGTTGAGGAGAAACACAGACTATTCTGAAGACCTCCCTTCATTTCCCACCTGGCTGCACTCTTTTGGACTTCATCATGCCCCAGGAACCTCTTCATCCTGCAAGATCACATCAGTCCTTGTACTCACAATCATCAGTATCACCTCTGTTCCTCAGGGCCCTTGGACTGAGGATGAGCAAAAGGCTCTTCCCAGAACCTCCATTTAAGGACAGTGCCCAGGCCAACCATCTCTTCATTTCCTGGCTACGCTCTTTTGGACTTCTCCATTGTGCCCCTGTATCAGGTACCTTTCCTCCTGCACCCCACCCCACACTTTACAGCTTCCTTGAAAGCTCCTTGAAAACAGGGACTTTCTTTTTCATATCTGTATCCCCAGCACTTAGTACAGTGCCTAGCCCATAGTAGGTGTTTAATAAATGTGTATTGACTGACTGACCAGATAGAGAACTGCACTTCAGAAGAATGTATGGAAAGGGCCCATTTAAAGGCAGCACGATGACTAAGGTATTGATGGCTGCAGAGCATTGTGGTCCATCAACTCATTTGCATGTGACTTTTAAAAGTCATAACTGAGAAAGAGCCAATCAAATAACTGTTTGGAGACTGTAAGAAGAATAAGGACTGTTGGGGTAAACTT